CCAGCATATCTGGTAATCTGGCACCCCCTGGGCCCTAAAGGTGCTGGATTATCGGAAGTTTACTGTATATGGATTGCTTTTACAACACAAAATACAAAGTATACGGTGCCCATGTAATTTTGATTACAAAGATATGCACTGTAAAATGATTAAAAACTATATTTCAGTGTATCTCATACAAGTACTGTAGTGGAAACTATTGTGAAAGTGCAACTTACAAATGTAGAAATTTGTTGTCACATAAATGCACTCAAAAACAAAACAATGTAAAACTTAAGACCCTGTAATTCCTTTGTCTTATTTCTTCAGCTTACTGCTAAGACAAACAAGTTTGTTCACTTTTATAGGAAGTTTGTTCACGTTTCCTGGTACAACCAAAACTTTACCTTGCTTTAAGTTATGTTAAGAGGAAGCTGTATTCCAAATTTTCCGGCTACAAAAGTGCCATGCGTACATCTGTTCTCTCTTTCACGTGACATTGTAAATAAGTGGACAGCATTATTGTAAATAAGTGGACAGTGCCAGCTGAGCACCTGTTCTCACTTTCAGGTGACTTTAACATTATCTCTTGCAAATTGTAATCAAACTTGTTTGTCTGTGTAATTTACTAAACAATAGGTAGAACTGAGTGGACTTTTTGGCCCTAAAGTTCTACACTGTCTAATTTTTAATGCAGTTATTTTTTGTATATAATTCTGCATTTGTAAGGTTAGCTTTCCTGATAGAGATTTTACTACATTACTTGTAGTAGGTGAATTGAAAAATACCATTTCTATTTTTGTTTACAGTTCAAGCATTTGTAATCTGCTATGTGTGTATATGAGTGTCTGTCTGTCTATTAAAAAACTCCTCCTAAATGGCAAGAGCTAGGATCACAAAATTTGGTATACAGCTTCCTCTTATCATAACTTAAAGCAAGGTAAGGGCTTGGTTGTTCCAGGAAAATGGGAAGTGACAGGAATATGATTGATTCATTCTCATAAAACCAAACACTGAGACAGAATCACCAAGAAGGTGAAAAGGACTGGGTGGAAGTGTGCCCCCTACCCTCTGGAACTGCCATAGCCTCCCACTTCCCCAGGCACCCTTTAGAGAGAGCAGAGGGTCTGTAGATTTCCCCCTCCCCCCAATCCTCATCTCGTTTCATATGGGGATGTTGCTGGCTGTTCCCCTTTGTCAGGGAGTGAAGGGAAAACGCACAGTTTGCTGCATTCCTCAATCTGTCGGGAGCACACAAAGGGGAGACTAACCTGGACCTGCCCCAGCTGGGAGACATGCACCCCTCTCCCAGCTGTGCCCACTGGAGCTGCAGCAGCCATGGAGAGGCACTTCTCACTTGGCCCCAAGCTGCTGTGGTAAGAGAGGGTTGGGGGTAGTCCTCTCTCCCTAGTGCAGTCTGCATGCTGAACCCTTCATCTCCAGCCTCACCGTGGAGCAATGATTTAAATGAAACATGTACATTTTCATTTTACTTAAAAAAGAAAATAAAAAAAATTAAGGACCCAAACAATGGAGGGTAAATCTTCTAGTCAGAGATAAAGTGAGTACTGTGCACTTTGTATTCTAATAGAATTCAATATATTTGAAAATGTAGAAAACATCCAAATACTTAAATAAATACTGTTCTATGATTATTTTGCAGCATTGTTAATTGTGATTAATTTTTTTAATTGCTTGACAGCTTTACCCCCAAATACATGTATTTTCTTACACTAAGTGATAAATAAAAGCCTTCATTTTCACTTTGTCTTATTTTGGGAATAAAGACTGCAGTTCAGCAATACATCCGTGTCCATCAGAGCATGTGAGTACATGCTTAAGTGTCACTGGCTTTAACTTTTAAGTATGTGCTCGATTGTGTTGCTGAATAGCATAAGACCATTATTAGTCAATTCTCAAAATAATGAGAACACAATTCACAGCAGAGGCAAAGAGTGTGTTTAAAAAAAAAAAACAAAAAAAAAACAAAAACCAACAGGTTGCTGTATAGCAGAGAGAACAATAAATGAGAAGATGACAAATATTCTGCGAAAGTATGAGAACTAATGATGCATATTTAAAGAGAGGGGAAAAATAATGAAAACCTTGAACACTAATTGGATAACAAAACAAAACATTGGGTGCTGTATCACTAAAGGGCTACGTCTACACTGGCCCCTTTTCCGGAAGGGGCATGTAAATTTCATGAGTCGTCGTAGGGAAATCCGCGGGGGATTTAAATATCCCCCGCGGCATTTAAATAAAAATGTCCGCCGCTTTTTTCCGGCTTTTAAAAAAGCCGGAAAAGAGCGTCTAGACTGGCCCCGATCCTCCGGAAAAAGTGCCCTTTTCCGGAGGGAGCATATGACCTATGAGGAGAGGCTGAGGGAGTTGGGTCTGTTTAGTCTGGAAAAAGGGCACTTTTTCCGGAGGATCGGGGCCAGTGTAGACGCTCTTTTCCGGCTTTTTTAAAAGCCGGAAAAAAGCGGCGGACATTTTTATTTAAATGCCGCGGGGGATATTTAAATCCCCCGCAGATTTCCCTACGACGACTAGTGAAATTTACATGCCCCTTCCGGAAAAGGGGCCAGTGTAGACGTAGCCAAGGAATGTAGTTCCTCCTCACTTGTCCCATATATACTACCAGCCTGACAAAGTCTTTTAGAGAGTTGATGAATACTTAAACTCCACTTTTCTCTTGGCGTTCATGAATTAAAGTCCCATACTCAATTTCTTCATGATCTTTTGAGATGTAATCCAACACATCACCTCACAAACCTAATCTATGTCTCTATTTATGACTTATTGCATTCTGCTCTCACTTTAGTAGTTCCCACTTTTCCTTCGTATCATCATTTTAATATGCAGTTCTGGGACATTCTTACTCATTTGCACATTTAGGGAAGTATGAGGAGCCATGAAAAAAATCTTGACAATTTTAAATATTTAAAACATACTTTAGGAATAATTGATTTTAATAAATTTGCTTGGATCAGTTACAAAAATGCATAATATCCAAGACTGGTCTGATGCACCCTTTTAAAAAAAAATCTGAAATTTATTTTCCAGTACAGAATCTATAGAAATCCATACAGTGATTGGACAAAAGAGACGAGAACTGGAATTGTCGTCGTCATCTGTGTTAGCTAGAGTTCAAAGGTAAAATGTTCACAGTGGTTTTAAGTGGATAAATGTTTAAATGAAAACTAAAGTTTGAAATCGCATTAATTGTTTTTATATATAATACCGTAAACATAAAACTTAAAATCTGTTTTCAGATAATAATTTTCTATGTTTTCATAGCTTAGTTGCTACTTCTATCTAAATTGAGACTTTTTATTGTGTATATTCTGGTACTTTCTTTCATGTGCATCAGTGTGATAAGCTCACTGTGCACAGATCTGTGAGCCTACATGTGCCATTTTTCATATATGTGTGTCTATTTTTTTTTTCATTCAGGATTTGTCATTGTTTATCGTTCAATAAGTTCATGTTACCTCTTTTGTAATACTTTTCTGATTTAAACACAGACTACTAAATCTCAAGACTTAAACCACAGCTTCAAACCAGTTATTCTCTCCTATGGTTGGTTTTCACTTTCTTCAACCTGGGGAGGAAAGAAAAATCCACATTTCTCACAAAAAATGGGGGGCAGATAATTTGACAATTAGCTCACAGGAGTCCAGTATCTAATTCCTATGTAAAAGAAAAACAAATAGTAGACCCACTCAATTGTAATAATATGTTCTGACCTCTTGTGGCAAGTTTCTTAAGGGACATTGTTAGGTTTAAAAATGTTAATATATCCTTTCTTTGTTACTAACTCTGTGGAGAGAGAGACTGTCAGAACTCCTGGTTTCTACCTCTGCTCTGGTAGAAAGGAGTCTAGTGGGTTACAATAGGGGCAGATACATTTGGGTTCTATGTAAGAACATCAGACTGGCCATATTGGGTCAGACCCAAAAGTCCATCTAGGTCAGTATCTGGTCTTTTGGCAGTAGCAAATGCCAGGTGCTTCAAAGAGAATGAACGCAATCAGTGAGTGATTCATCCCATAACCCATTCCAAGCTTCTGGACATAGTGTTGGATCTCTGCCCACGCTGGCTAATAGCCATTGAGGACACTATTCTCCATGAACTTATCTTGTTCGGTTTTGAACAGTTAGTCTTGACCTTCACATCAACCTCTGGCAAAGTGTTCCAACAGACTGACTGCAAAGAAATACTTGGCTTTTAAATCTGCTTCCTATTAATTTCATTGAGTGGCTTTTATTCTTGTGGTGTTTGGAGAAATAAATAACACTTCCTATTCAATTTTTTCACATCATTCATGCTTTTATAGACTCCTGTCCTATCTTCTCTTCAGTCATCTCTTTTTCCAAACTGAAAAGTCGTCTTTTTAATCTCCTCATACGGAATATGTTCAGTACTGCTAATTTCTGTTGCCCTTCTCTTTACTTTTTCCAAATCCAATATATATGTTTTTTTCAAATGGGGTGATCGCATTTGCACACACTATTAAATATGTGGACATACCATGGATTTATAGAGGCAATATATTTTTTATCTTGTTATCTATTCTTTTCCTATGAAGTCTCAATATTCTGTTAGGGTTTTTTTTCCAGTCAGGAGATATAGAGAAAATATTTTCAGACAACTGTCAACAATGACTCCAAGAGCTCTTTATTGATGGGGGTCAGCTAATTTAGACACCATTATTTTGTATATAGACTCATAGACTTTAAGGTCAGAAGGGACCATTATGATCATCTAGTCTGACCCCCTGCACAGTGCAGGCCACAGAATCTCACCCACCCCTCCTAGAATAATCCTCTCACCTATATCTCAGATATTGAAGCCTTCAAATACTTTGAAGACCACAAGATTCAGAGAATCCTCCAGCTGCGATCTGTACCCCATGCTACAGAGGAAGGCAAAAAACCTCCAGGGCCTCTGCCAATCTACCCTGGAGGAAAATTCCTTCCCGACCCCAAATATGGCGATCAGCTAAACCCTGAGCATGTGGGCAAGACTCATCAGCCAGACACCCAGAAAGTTCTCTATAGTAACTCCTATCATCCCTCCATTGACCTATTTCCCACTGATAATGAATGGTCAATTAGTTACCAAGATCATGTTATCTCATCAAACCATCCCCTTCATAAACCCATCTAGTTTAATCTTGAAACCAGATAGATCTTTTGCCCCCACTACTTCCCTTGGAAGGACGTTCCAGAACCTCACTCCTCTAATGGTTAGAAACCTTCATCTAATCTCAAGTCTAAACTTCCTACTAGCCAGCTTATATCCATTTGTTCTTGTGTCCACATTGGTATTAAGCTTAAATAATTCCTCTCCCTCCCTGGTATTTATCCCTCTAATATATTTAAAAAGTGCAATCATGTCCCCCCTCAGCCTTCTTTTGGTAAAAGAAAACAAGCCAAGCTCCTTGAGTCTCCTTTCATAAGACAGGTTTTCCATTCCTCGGATCATCCTAGTGGCCCTTCTTTGTACCTGTTCCAGTTTGAATTCATCCTTCTTAAACATGGGAGACCAGAACTGCACACAGTATTCCAAATGGGGTCTCACCAATGCCTTGTATAATGGCACTAACACCTCCTTATCCCTACTGGAAATACCTCGCCTAATAAATCCCAAGACCGTATTAGCCTTTTTCACGGCCATGTCACAATGGCGGCTCATAGTCATTCTATAATCAACCAGGACTCCGAGGTCCTTCTCCTCCTCCGTTACTTCCAACTGATGTGTCCCCAGCTTATAACTAAAATTCTTGTTATTAATCCCTAAATGCATAACCTTACACTTCTCACTATTAAATTTCATCCTATTGCTATCACTCCAATTTACAAGATCATCCAGATCTTCCTGTATGATATCCCGATCCTTTTCTGAATTGGCAATAGCTCCCAACTTTGTGTCATCCGCAAATTTTATCAGGACACTTCCACTTTTGGTGCCAAGGTCAGCGATAAAAAGATTAAATAAAATTGGCCCCAAAACTGATCCTTGAGGAACCCCACTAGTAACCTTCCTCCAACCTGACAGTTCACCTTTCAATATGACCTGCTGTAGTCTCCCCTTTAACCAGTTGCTTATCCACCTCTCAACTTTCATATTAATCCCTATCTTTTCCAATTTAACCAATAATTCCCCATGTGGTACTGTATCAAATGCCTTACTAAAGTCAAGGTAGATTAGATCCACTGCATTTCCTTTATCTAAAAAATCTGTTACTTTCTCAAAAAAGGAGATTAGGTTGGTTTGGCACGATCTACCTTTTGTAAAACCATGTTGTAATTTGTCCCAATTGCCATTAGCCTCAATGTCTGTAACTACTTTCTCCTTCAAAATTTTTTCCAAGATCTTACATACTACAGATGTCAAACTAACATATATATTTGGGATTATTTTGCTGTATACACTACTTTGCAGATATCAGCATAGCATTCTGTCTGCCATGTGTTGTCCAGTCACCCTGTTTTGTGAAATCCCTTTGCAATCATTTCCAGCTTCTGGCAGACAGAAGTTAGGGACACCATCCTGGCTACAAGCCATTGATGGACCTATCCTCCATGAATTTATCTAGTTCTTTTTTAACCCTAATAAAGTATAGGCCAGTGGTGAGTAACCTGCAACCTGCATATGGCCCACTGGGGTACCACCTGTGACACTCAGACTCCTAGCTGTCTCCCTTCCCCTCCACCCCATGCACTTGTCACACACCAGGGCACTGGAGCTCCACACTTCCTTCTCCTTTCCCTCCTTCCCAGCACTTTAAGAGCACACAAACTGCCTGATTCATGCTCTGTACCCAAATAAGCTGTTTGCAGTGTTCCAGCTCTGTGAGGGGAAGGGAAGGAGTTGGGGCGGCACGTGAATCAGGTAATTTGTGCACTCCAAATGTGCAGGGAGGGAGGGGAAGGAACAGGTAAGTGGGGGGCTCTAGTGCCCTGGTGCGTGAGAGGCACCTAGAAGAGGGGAAGGCAGACAGGGGAGCCCATAGGGCCACAGGTGGAAACCCAGTGGGCCATTGAAGTGAAAGAGGGCCACTTGTGGCACATCCACCATTCCTGGTTGCCCATCCCTGGTCTAGGCCTTCGCAACATCCTCTGGTGAGTGGTTCCACAGGTTGACGCTGTCTTGTGTGAAGTACTTCCTTTGTTTTAAAGCTGGTTTAAAGGATAGGTTACAAACCACAGTTAGTAGGTCTGTACTTTCACATTTGAATTCTTTCATAATTCTTGGGTGAATACTATCTGGTCCTGGTGACTACTTATTTAGTTTATCAGTTGGTTCCAAAACCACCTCTAATGACACCTCAATCTGGGACAGTTCTTCAGATTTGTCACCTAAAAAAAGACTTAGGTTTGGGAATCTCCCTCATATCTTCAGCTGTGAAGACTGATGCAAAGGATTCATTTAGTTTTTCCACAATGAGTGGAAAGAATGCAAATAATTCATTTAGTTTTCTTGAGTGCTCCAGTAGCATCTAGATAGTCAAACAACCAGTGGGGCTGCTGAACAGGCTTCTTACTTCTAATGTACTTACAATAAAAAATTGCTATTACTTTTTGAGTTTTTGGCTAGCTATTCTTCAAATTCATTTTTAGCTGCCTTAATTACATTTTTACATTTCACTTTCCGGAGCTGATACTACTTTCTATTTTTCTCACTAGGATTTAACTTCCATGTTTTAAACTATGCCTTTCTCTTTCTCACTGCTTTTAACTTGGGGTTGTCAGGACCGTTCCCCACTCTGGCACACCAAATGCAGAAGGTGAGGAAGGCCTGCAAGAGAGATTCAAAACCTTGCCTCTACAGGCATTGGTTATAATAAAATTAAAAAAAAAAACAAAAAACCCCCCCCCCCCCCCAAAATCATAATACACAGATTTTGGGGAATTGCAGCCATCATCAACTACTTTTTGATCCCTAAAAACCAGGGGTGATCACTTAAAATCACCCCCACGGGTACCCAAAGCTCTTTTGCCTCAAAAGAGCTTGAAAAAAGAAAAACAAGCTGCAGTCTCTGCTACCTGACCCTTCAGTCAGAGGCATGCAGATACATGCAGACAGACCCTCCTGGTCACAAGAATCAAATTGTCACTTTAATGATTTTTATTGCAAAACAAAAGAGAAACTTGAGAGCTCATACATGGTTGCTAGATGTTACAGAGCAACTAAGGGAAACAAATTAACAAAAGTCTCAGCACAATGCTTAGATGGTAGCAAATGGGGAGAGGAGGCATAGATTCACGCAGGGCAAACCAAACCCCCCAAAAAAGAAAATTACTCTGAGCGTGACTGGATTCACTTTTACTTACGTCTGATTTTCTCTTTGTTCAGTCCTCTCCCATGCCCTGAATTCCTAGAGACTTAGTAGTCCTGCCTGGGTTTAAATTATATTTTTTCTCTCTCTCTCTCTCTCACTCACTCACTCACTCACTCAAAACTTCTGGTTTATTTCTCCCACACAAAGAAAGCAGGCAGGGGATCTATATCCAATTCAAATTTCAACCTTCTATCTTGATTGGTTCTCTCAGCCCCCTGGTTGACACCTTTGCTAGGTACCTGAGCTTAACCTCTCAGTCTGTAGGTGCTGGTCAGCACTCCTCCAGTCCATTACAGGAGTGTATATTCAAGTTGTGCCTCTGTTATGGTGTCTTTGAAAAGTTTTTTTACAGCTTGCAGGGATTTCACTTTTGATATTGTATCTTTTAATTTCTGTTTTAACCAGCCTCATTTTTCTGATGTTCCCCTTTCTGAAATTAAATGTCACAGTGTTGGGTTGCTGTGGTGCTTTTCCCACCATAGGGATGTTACATTTGAATGTATTATGGTCACTATTTCCAAGTGTGAAAATAAGGGTGAAATGGTTCCTCATGGGTGGAGCACTGAGGCACAGCACTTGGGCATACATTTTGAACAGTCAGACACTATGGCTGTCAGAGGAGCCCAGAGGGTTGCCATTAACATCAGGGAGACTTTGAGGAACTACTTTGACAATGAATGGCACTGAAATGTCTCTTTTTTGGGGGTCGCTTCCCTGCTGCATCCCATTCCTCTTCCCAAATAATGCATTTCCCTGAAAGAAAGGGATTTAACAGCCTGCACCTGGGGCCTAAACGATCACTATGAATTGTGGAACAGAAGATAAAGTCATTGTACCATCGAATATGTGTGCTTTTATTGACCACTGCAAATCATGGTCACACGCCTAAAGATCAATTTTTCCTTGGAAAGGAGGGTTTGGGTTAGGGTAGAACCTCACAGCTATCTGTAGGTCCAGCTGTCATAGTCATGGTTGTGATAGGGTGTGGAGTGTGGTGGAAAGTGAGCCTTCCCAGACAATGAAAAGTAATGTATGGGTGAGTAGAGGGTGGGTTGCTGGACAAAGAATTCTGTATATGTTGCAGGTCCATTTCTGTTCACTCCAACACGAGCATCCCTGTTGGCTCCTTCATAACCTTAATCATTCGCTCAGGCATCTTTCCCAGTTTGTCCTCCAGCCCATCCCCCTCAAATGGTGTCCCTGACACCCACAAAAGGAACATTTCTGGAAAAATGTATTTATTCTTCTCTATCCCTGCTGTGTTTCCACTACTGCTGTGTCTGAGGGTATGTTTAGATTACATCCATCTTTCGACAGAGGGATGTAAATTAGACACTTGGAAATTGCAAATGAAGCCAGGATTTGAAATTTCTATGCTTCATTTGCATTTTTGCGTCATGGCGCTCTTTTGAAAAAGTGCTATTTCGAAAGTAAAGCCACGGTCTAGACACGGTTCTTTCGAAAACAGAAGCCTTTTTTGAAAGAGCACCATGATGTGATATGCAAATGAAGCATGAGATTCAAATCCCGGCTTCATTTGCAATTTCGAAGTGTCTAATTTACATTCCTCTGTCGAAAGAGGGATGTAATCTAGACATAGCCTGAGGGAAAAGGAATTTTTCATCCCTTCACTGTGCTGCATCAGAAGAGAGTTTCTCTTAGAAGTATTTCTTCTCCTTAGTAGAGGGAAGTTTATTACTGGACTGACCAGAAGGAATTACAGTAGGACTATGGATTTTTCCATTGATACCTTGCTCCAGGTTGTTAGTTATGTCTACTTTTATTTAAAGGATTGTAGAGAGTTATTTTGGCTTTGTTACTGAATGACTCCTGAAAAATATATTTTTTGGGAAAGAAAGCTTACTGACTCTCAGTTTTGACTCAATATCACTAGCTTTCAGGCAGTCCTAGGCATAATGTTCCATTTGTGAATGTAGTGAAACATCTTACTTGCTTACAATATTTTTCATTTAATGTAGTATCTTTTTCTTTGTAAAGCATTCTATCTTTTATATTGTTTTAATATTTTTAATATTACAGAAATACCTTCATGTTTTATGAAGCTGAAGCTGAAACTTATCTTCTTGCTTCCAGTATAATGCCAAGGACTGTTTTTCCAACACATACTACGCCTCTGGAAAATTTTGGTAAACTTTTTTTTTGTAAGTTTTATTTATAGTTCATATAAAGAATTGTCCAGCTGTGAATTTCTAAATCAGTTTCCACAGTTAAAATTTAGGCAGTAAACTATTGTGCCAGTAATTTGTCACTTGCTTACTAGTTGTCTTCATTAAATGAAGAGCAAAATGTTTTCTCTCTAAATTTTTCTTATAGAATTCTATATTTTAAAATTATATGAATCTTGTATTTATTATTCAAACCTTATCAAACTGGTTACATCAGGAAAGCTCCTATTCATTCTTTTAAGTTGTTTAATTGGAATCTGGAAGTGCTACACTCGGCAGTGCTCTGTTAAATGTCATGAAGGAAACAATCTTGCATAAGCACCAGCGTGGTCTAGATTAGTATTTAATGTAGGGCAGGGCCCTTCACCAAAAAGTGAGAGGAAAAAATTTGCAGCATCATTTGATCTTTAAGAGCCAGTAAAAATATGGGCATGGGGAACCGAGAAGAAGCATTTTCTCCCCTGTTGCAGTAGCTGTCATCTAGTTTATCCTACCCTCAAACCCAATTAGAATGGCAGTCTTCCTGTCCCCCGGTCTGCACAGCTCTGAGATGTGGAAAACAGAGCTTTCATAGTTCTGCTGCCTATCATCTGTTGCCTCTTTGAAGCAATATTGCCTCAGAGCTAAGCGCTGTGCAAGCAGGGACTTTGGGGCTTCAACATAAGCAGCAAAAACAGGGAAACAGCTATCAAGGGACAAGAGCAAGGGGTGAGAACAGATCCAGTAATACAAGCTAAAACTTTACCCTTTTTTGTGTGGAGGGAGGCAGAGAAAGATTGACTCTTCAGGGCCCTACTGTTTAGCACAGTTTAACTGGCTCGCTTTCACCTCCTCCTGCCTATTTTCCAATGCTCTACTACTAAGAATGTTAAATTTAGATTAATTATCTAATCCAATAGCCAATGGAATTTCCATCAACTATTTGATTTAGTCTGAGGGCGTCTCCACCTTTGAACTATAGCAAGAGCTCGCAGGGAGGATGGGTCTTCCTTTTGAAATGTTCAAGAGCCCAATTAGGGCTGGCTTCACACTCCCTGCGGTGCCTCAGCCTTTGAAATGTACAAGAGCCCCAGTGGGGATCTTGTACAGGGAGTGTGGGACCCCTCTGGCCCTGAGCTCGGTGTGGCGCTTCAGCTTTTGAAATGTACAAGAGCCCTGCTAGTGTTCTTGTACATTTCAAAAGCAGAAGCAAGCTCTGGGCCAGTGGGGGAGTCCCCCGCTGGCCCTGCTCTCCTTGTGACACCTGAGCCTTTGAAATGTGCAAGAGCCCTGGGGCTCTTGTACAATTGAATAGTAGAAGCAGTGCAAGAGGAGATTGCTTCTTTCCCCGCTCATGCAGTTTCTGCTGTGCCTCTACTGCCCCTGCCAAGACGTTGCTGGGGGGAACCCGGCTTTTACGCTGGCTCCCACCAGCTCCTACTCCCCGCTTTGCTTCTCTCTCTGATAGAGGCAGCACAGGTGTGGGAAGCAACTAGTTGCATCACTAATCCACTATCTGATAAGCTATAGCTTATTGGATAGTCAACTAGTTTCTTACCTCTACTGCATCTGGTAACATGTGAACACTAGATGAATGCTGCTGCTAAAATTCTCAGCGACTGAACAGTTACTGTTGACATTATAACTGTTTTCAACTGGGTGTCAGCTGTGCGATGATTAAGGCAATATAATGTCCCTTGAAGCTATTGTTTAACTTCATCTTCAGGAACATATTTCAGTAGTCCACATTTTAAAGGCTTTCTTCACCTTAAAGATGCTTGAAACTTGCAGTTTGTCCACACCTGGGAGTTATACCAGGTTAGCTATAGTGCAATAGTTATTCTGCTATAGCTGTGCTGGTCAATTTCCCCATACAGTTAAGTCCTTAATATTCTTTAATTTAAATTCAGGCAGAAATTGAAGCTAGGAGCAGCAAAAGATTGATTCTGTTTTTAAAATAGAACTTGAAATATCGGTTAACTTACATACACTTCCTCTTTGAGGCTTGTCCTATTTTGTGGTTGCAGATATTTGATGTAAGATCTTGATTGAAGGTGGTGTCAGCAATTAAGAGAAGGAGTTTTTGTAAGATGCTTACTGGCTGCCCTGCTGTGATTGAGATCTGGGATAAGAAAGCACATGATTTCAGCTGTTCTCTTTTAAATGTGGACCTAGATTGATGGGAATCCACTGCAGTGGATTGTGGCAGTACTAGACTTCTCCCCTAAGGTGATAGGGCTTCTCTTAATAGAATGTGCACCCGTGGTTGAAGTGTATCCTTTATTTTGTTTGAAAAGTTAGTATAATAAAATGTTGAAAACTTTTTTATTTATTTTTATTCATCCTAAGCCTAATTATTTTTATTAATCCTAAGCCTAATTAGGATTGATAATGCTAGCAACTCTTCCAAGTGTCAATGACCCTCCATATATTTAATGCAAGATGGAACTAAATTCTTCACATTGTGTACTGGAAGTAGTACAAAAGACAGAGTGCAGATCTTACTAGGGAAATATGAAGAAATGAGAATAATTGTGATTTGAAATGAAGTTGTCTGGTTTCTTTTTTACTCTTTGATATATGAAAGTCAAAAGGATGTCAGTGACTTGAAAAAGGTGTTTAGAGGGACACGCACGAGACTTTCATTTATTATATACTTAAGCTCTCCTTAAACTAGAACTTAAAGATCTGTTGTTAGCATGTTTTAAAAGTCTCATGTGAACAGGACAGTATAAGGTGTTCAAGCATGCTGAACTGGGAAAATTGAAATTTACAGAGCAACCTCATCAAGACAGTTGTAGGACCTAATCCTTCTTTTCAATGTTCAGGATGTGAGCGCTGCGTGAAGACTTTTAGGCCTGGTCTACACTATAAACTTTTGGTAGTATAATAAGGCCTGTTATGGATATGAGATTTTTATATGGGCAGATAGCCCTAGTGAAGAATAATTCATATAACAGAAAAATTCTTTTGCCGGTATAGCTTATTTTATAAGTGATAGTTACCAAAGCATATTCTTCAAGTTCTTGCTCACATTGATTCCATTCGAGGTATGTGCACATCCATGTGCACAATCAGAGATTTTGCCTTCGTGGTATCTGTAGTCAGAGAGATAGGAGCACCCTCGTGAGTGCCATTTTTATGAGTCAGTAGATTAGGTGCTGCTGACCTTATACCCTTCCAGTTCCTTCTTACTGCCTCTCATGGTTGGTTGGAACTCCTTGTCTTGCAGTGCAAGAGCATTAGTGGGTCTTACACTCCATTGTTCTGTCATCTTTGTTGCTAGTTGATAGGTACTTAAGCAATGTCTCCACTTGCCATGCTGGAAATCGGTCTTCTGGCATTTGATTTAGTGGGACTAGTTAAAAAATTGACCAGAGTGTGTGTTCCTGTCAGCCCCCCACTGTGCCATGCTCTGCTTAAGGTAAGCCAACTCCGACTACGTATTTTACGTAGCTGGAATTGCATACGTTAACCCGGCTTGCCAGGTCTAATGTAGACCTGACCATAGTTAGACCATTAGGTGTTAGAGTAGTAGTTTAGGAATTAGTCCCAGCTGGGATTTTGCCTTGGAGCAGGGCATGCCCCATTGCCCAGGCATTAAGCCATGTTCATCATGCTGCTGACCATTGCCCATTAGTGAACCCCATGAAAGCTGTTTAGAGTGTTTGGGGGAAGTCCCACAGAAAGGATAAGTGCAGGATCTGTAAAAATCTTTGCCTTCAAACTTGGAAAGAGCAAAATATCTGTTTGAGGGCCCTCCTCATGGAGGCTGTGCTTGGTCCTTCCTTGGTGCCCTCTTGATCAGATTCCATGCCTGACCGCTCAGCACTGGTGCACAGTATATCACTGGCACAAAATTCCACTTGACACCATTCCCCCTCCCTGGTGCCTAAGTGGTCAATGTCAATGGGCCTGCCAGCACTGCAAAAAAAGGGAGCTTCAGGCAAAGGACTTGGAGCTGCTCAGGAGCACATCTGTGGTCATATTCCCTAATCCAGCCAGCAACTTGCCTCTGACTCCTGGGAGACACAGAAGATCCCAACCCCTAGTAGGGTCCTCTATGCCTGAAGAAGGCCCACCAGCCAAACAGCAAGTAGGCCAAACAGCATTGCAGACACCAAGCCAGGCAATGGACCCAGCATTTACAAGCAGGCTAGAGGACTGCCTCCTACAACAGAGCATCCCCAATTCCTGGACTACAAGTGTCAGCCCCAGCAGTGCAGCCTCAAACCCTGGTACCACAATCTCAGTCCCCAGTTAGAAAAACACAGTTCCCTGATGCCAAGGTTTCCACCAGCAAGGTACAGTGCACCTGACTCATGACCACAATCCCTGTACTCATCGTACTGTTGGCCTCCAACTAAAGTTTGCCATCACTTGGGTGGTCTCTCAGGCATCAATTTCTCTCCCCTTGCCCCCCTGCAGGATCAATCTCGGTTGTAGCAGTGGTCTCCAACTCCCTACTCTTCAGGCAGGCACCAGTCCTTGCCCTCTGCTTACCGGTCACCAAGAATCAGTTGGCAGATTTGGACATCTACAGATCCACCCTGGTCACTGGAAGGACAGTGATCCGAGCCTGAAGAAGAGTGCAGCCCCTTGCCTTTAAAAGACAATTGCCACTGTTCATGAGACATTGTGGCTCCTACGGTGGAGTTGTGGAGGCAGAAACAATGGCCTGCTCAGTTGCAGTACTGGAACTTGGGCTTATACCTCTTATGCTAGTCCTGTACTTCCACCGTTTCACCCAGGCCACATCAGTCACCCTCAGTGCAGCTGGCATTCAAGTTAGTGCATAGTGCTAAATCTGACGTGAGGGTGGCACAGCAGGACCTGACACCCAGATGAGCAAGGAGAAGCCACCTCATCCCCCTGCTGCACAATAGTCTTCATTGTCTCTGGACAAAGTGCTCACAAACAAGCAGATCCTCTCCCGCCCCTACCCATGACAACTTCAAGGAGCACCAGGCCCTGCTCAGAAGGGTACCTGCCAATCG